TTAATGCTATAACTAGTACTCAAACAGTATTTTTCACTTTGTGTTTCTATGTGGGTGCAAACTGTTGAAATCTTTACTTAATATATGCTAAACTGATCTTCTGTATATAAAGAGAATTGAAAATGCATCTTGATGTGAATGGAAGGGGGGAGGGAGCGGGAAACGGGAGGGTTGTGGGTGGGAGGGAAGTTATGGGGGGGGGAGCCATTGTAATCCATAAGCTGTATTTTGGAAATTTATATTCATTAAATAAAAGTAAAAAAATAAATAAATGATGCTCGGAAAATTGAAACTCCCTATGCAGAAGTATGAAACAAGACTGCTTGCTTAAACTCTATTTAAAAAATCAAGTGAAGATGGATCAAAAACCTAAATCTAAGATCTGAAAACATCAAATTATTAGAAGAAAACATAGGGGAAATTTTGCAAGACATTGGCATAGGCAAATATTTCTTAGATAAGAGTGGCGATGCCCAGGCACTTAAAGTAGAATAGACAAATGGGATTACATCAAGCTAAGAAGCTTATGCACAGCATACAAAACAATCAAAGATGCAAATGACAGAATAGAATAAAATATTTGCAAATTATGCATCTGATAAAGGATTAATATACAGGATATATATGGAACTCAAGAAATTCAAAAACAACAACAAACAATTCAGTTAAGAATTTGCAAAGGATATGAAAAGGTGTTTTTGAAAGGATGAAATATTAATGGCCAACAACCACAGAAAAAATGTTCCTCATCACCAGGCTTCAGGAAAATGTAAATAAAAACCACAGTGACATTTTACCCAATTAGAATATCTGTCATCCAAATATCAAAAAATATCAACTACTGGCATCGATGTGGATAAAAAGGTACTCTAATACACAGCTGGTGAGAATGTAAACAAGTACAATCATTAAGGAAGACAGTCTGGAGATTCCTCAGAAATCTGAAAATTCATCCAGCCATCCCACTCTTGGGAATATACCTAAAGGATATGAAATGAGCATAAGAAAGGGTTATCTGAGTCCCGGTGTTCATAGTCGCTGAATTCACAATAGTAAGATATGGAATCAACCCACATGTCCATCAACTGATGACTGGATAAAGAAAATGTGGTATAAATACCTGATGGAATACTACTCAGCCATAAAGAAGAATGAAATCTTGTCTTTGGCAAAATAATGGGTGTACCTGGAGACCATTATGTTTAGTGAAATAATCCAGACTCAAAAGACAAATGACACATTTTTTTCTGTGATTAGTTGTAACTAATATTTAGAGTGCCAAAAAAAACCTTAATGCATATCAAGCTAAACTGACTTCTTGTAATTTCATTATTTCTATACTTATCTATATCCCTATATAACAGTGTTCTATCCTTCATTTGTAGAGTTATTTGTTGAAAAAGCATTGAGCCTTTGATTAAAAATTGAAAGTATGTTATCACAAAAATTAAAACAAGAAAAGGAATAATAGGATGAAGGATGGTGGAGGGAGGGGAAAATATTATTGTATTTTCAGAATTTTATCTATGATTCATGAAATCATTTAGCTCTATATTAATAAGGATATAATATAAAAATTCATCGGAATGTAAATGGACTCAATCTAAAGAACTAATTTGTAGCTTTTTTTTGCATTGATTCTATGACAAAACTCTGAAAAAGAGTATGATATTTATTTTAAGCATCTTAATGTCCACACTAAAGGAAAAGGTATGTTTCAATCAGCTAAACTATTTTTAAATGTGACAAGGAATATTTCACATTTGGAAAAATACAGATATTGATTTACATTCATATCTACATACATACAAAACTCTCAAAAAAGTAAAGATGTGAATAACAGAATAGAGTAAAATATTCGCATCATTCAATTTGGAAACTCCATTTTCTAGCAGTTATTGGATATTTTAGGCTTCTGAAAGATTTTGGGAATGTTTCTAGTAAGAAATAAGAAATTATTTTCAGTAAATAAGTCTCAGTCAGAGGACAGGCTACTTTATGTCTAGTACTAAAGGTGCTTTATATATAAAATATATGAACAGAATTCTCTTGGTGTATTAGTCTTTATACCATATTATACATGAGGAAATTAAATCCCAGAGAGTTATATATGTTAGGATGCCTCTCCATATCTTACTGCAAAATTAATACCGTTCTATTTTACATATATATATATATTTATGCTATCAATACTATCAATACTAATGGAAAAATACCTGAAAAATTACTTGTAGTAAATTTGGGGAAGCTAACTTTTAATGTGCAAACAGGAAAAGTAAGGATCCCATTGATCAACCTGTGACTGGTTCTTTCAGATTTCTTGAAAATACCTATCTGTCATAATACAAATGTACCATGTGTAATTAATATTCCGGTGCCTCTGTCCTCAGAGCAATCCTTAAATCTGGGGTAACAAAGACCACAGTTTTCCCTAATATGAAACATAGGTGACTATGTTTAGTTTTGCTTTGTTGTACAGAATCTTGACAAATTTACTTAGTACCAGGAAACATTCCATGGAAAATTGTATTCTACTATATAGACATAACTGTTTTTAGTATAAAACCTTCTGTGGCCAATACTGTTAATGTTATACTTAGCTTAATTATTTAGTTTTGTTCTGATTTTAATCATGCACATTACTTTCTAAAAATGGGCACTTTACATAAATATTGTATATATGATGTATTCTTAATTACCAGTGTAGTAAATATACAGAATACAAAGTATATGAAAATTAAAGGGATCTATTTAAATGAGGTTATGTTCATTATCAAACATAATGCATTTGCGTAAGTATAGAAGAGTAGAACATAAACAGAATTAGTAATGCCAGAGATTTTGGATCACCACTGTACTTCATTAGTTTATGCTTTTGATATTTCAACAAGTCACATAATTTGAATACAAAAATAACCCTTAAAAGCATGGGAGACCAGGAGAAGCACCTGGCTCCCGGCTTCGGATCAGCGCGGTGCACCGGCCATAGCGCGCCAGCTGTGGCGGCCATTGGAGGGTGAACCAACGGCAAAGGAAGACCTTTCTCTCTCTCTCTCTCTCTCTCTCACTGTCCACTCTGCCTGTCAAAATAAATAAATAAATAAATAAAAGGAAGAAAATCTCCAAATTCTTCACTTGTATTATTTCTTTCTCCTAAGATAATTTTAGACGTCCCATCAAAATGGATGTCTGTAAGTCTGCACTGGTATATCTCATAAAAATATTAGTTCAGATTTTAAAAGTATCTTGCTAACATATAATCTTAAAAATTTTAAATGTGTTATTATTTTGACCTGCAAGTTAAAATAATTAATTAAAAGAACATTTCTGAAATTGTTCATAATTAAACATGCTTAAGAGCAAATTTATGATAAAATTACATTAAATCTTTCTTTGAAATTTTCCTAAAATTAATATTCTGGAATGTTTCTCTGATTCACTGATTAAAGAAACTATGGTTAGATGTCTTAGGTTGTTACTAGGGAAATATATGGAAAAATATAATGAATATTAAAAGAATATAAATTCATAGTTGAAATTCAAATCTATTTTACAAATATCATAAAGAACAAAAGAAAGTGAAATTTTTGATTACTTGTCACATAAAATAAATTTGTAACAGAAAGCAAATTTAAAACTGACATTTGGCAGCAATACATACAAGCAATAGAACAATCTATAGGGGAAATTATCCAGGCCATTAGAACCAGTTTTCTTTGCTCTCTTTCTGCCCTAAAGCCATGTTTTTGACATTTTCAAACAGGCCAGAAGTTGAACAGTGAGAGAGAGAGACAGAGAGAAAGGTCTTCCTTTGCCATTGGTTCACCCTCCAATGGCCGCCGCGGTCGGCGCGCTGCAGTGGGTGCACCGCACTGATCTGAAGCCAGGAGCCAGGTGCTTCTCCTGGTCTCCCATGGGGTGCAGGGCCCAAACACCTGGGCCATCCTCCACTGCACTCCCTGGCCACAGCAGAGAGCTGGCCTGGAAGAGGGGCAACCGGGACAGAATCCGGTGTGCCGGCGCTGCTAGGTGGAGGATTAGCTTAGTGAACCACGGCACCGGCCCCTAAGGCTTTTTAAATAATTGCTCATGACAAGGGTCATCCTAGGTAATAATGTATAAATAGAGATACACTAGCAGTTAGGACCTTAGTACACTCATCTTTCCTCACTGGATCCTCTCATCGCTACATGCACTCATTCTTGTAAGAAGGAATAAGAAGATTCTTGGGACGATGTTTTACCTTGTTCAAATACTCGGGTCAGAGAAATGACTGTGTTAAACTAGAGCCCCCCACCCCCGGCCCTAGTTTTAGACCTTTTCAGAATGTAGTCTAATAGAAGCATGACAAACCAGATGAAAGGGCAGAACGTGGAGAGGATAATTAGTTGTTCCAGGTACATACAGACCCTACCTCCACACAGCCAGACAGTAGCCCAGAGCACCCGAGGCCCTGGGCAGGAAACACCTGTGTGTCTGCCTGCAGTTAACTTGATCTACACTATGATAGCGTATGGAGTTTCCAGCAAGGTGGCTGTAATACAAACAAAACAAAAGAAAATCCCTCATCTTCAGTATCTCCACCTCTTACATGGCCCAGTAAGGATGGCAAAGAACAGTACAGTTTTCTTGTAATATCAGGAGGCAGTCAGATGGCACGTGCTGTGATGACAAAGGAGTTCTAGCATAATCAACAGCAGCCACAGACCGCACTTGAATCATCTTATGAAAACTTACAACAGAAGCAAAATCACACCCATGTTGTAAAGAAAATTTCCCAAGTCTTTTTTTTTCTAAATCATTAAATCTACTCTCAACATTTCAATGCTGCTATAACTCCTACAAATGCAAAGGGTTTGCGTTAAAGCACTGTGCCTTCACTGAATTTTCTTGTGTCCCGCCAACCCCACTTCTTGAGGCTATAAATGTATGCTCTGACACTGTGAAGTCAAGTCCACTGTGTGTGCACAGGCAGGTGCACATGTGTGCTCAATACATACGGGTTTTTCTGGCGGAATCTTCTACAAAAAGAGAGGAGATGTCTTCATCCACTCCGGCTTCGTTCTTCGCAATGCAAGTGTATGCTCCCGTATCTTCATAGCGAACATTGCTTATGTGGACCTCACTTCCATTTGCTGAGAACAGAAGGTACATGCAACTTGTAAGCTACAGATTCAGTTCCAGTACACTGCTTCCAGATTACTCAGTTAACAGTTCTCTTAGCTTGTCCCAATTAAACTATTTCCTTCCTACCTCCATACTTTGCAGACAAGCCAAATAATTCCAGAAGCATTCAAGTGTTCTGCAAATTATGCCATTATTCCACTATTGAGTGCCCAATACTCTACATAACATGCAAACACATTAGGTTTTATGCCATTTCTTATAAGTTGTACATGAAGTATTCCATATCAATAACTATAATTTTATTTATATATGCATTTACAATATCCAGACCACACTTTTTCCTAAAGCTTTCATAGAATTTTAACAATGATAATATTGCTCATTTTCAAGAAGTTACCTGAAAAGACCATTTCATGGAAAATTAAGTGAGCTACATAATGCAAATATGCTATTGACATTCACCAAGCTTTTTATTGAGTTCTTATAGATCTGGAATTATTAGGTATGGAGGGCAGAAAGATAACAATATATGATCTGTCTACAAGAGTTGTAGTCTTTACTAGAATATGTCTAAAAATTTATAATATGGAAATGTATGTAGTCAGTGTATAACCTAAATGATAAGAGTGCTTAATCCAGGGTTGGCGCTGTGGCGTAGTGGGTAGAGCCACGGCCTGCAGTGCCAGCATCCCATATGGATGCCTGTTCGAGTCCTGGCTGTTCCACATCCTCTCTTCCATGGCCTGGGAAGGCAGTAGAAGATGGCCCAATCCTTGGGCACCTGCACCTGCGTGGGAGACCCATGGGAGGCTTCTGGCTCCTGGCTCCTGACTAGCCCTGCTACAGCTGTTGTGGCCACTTCAGGAGTGAATCAGCAGATGGAAGGCCTTTCTCTCTCTGCCTCTCTGTAACACTGCCTTTCAAATAAATAAATAAATATTCTTTTTTTTCGTGCTTTAAAAAAGAGAGTGTTGGGAACGGTGCTGTGGCATAGTGGGTAAGGCTGCCACCTGCAGTGCCAGCATCCACACAGGTGCTGGTTCGAGTCCCGGCTGGTCCACTTCTGATCCAGCTCTCATATATTGCCTGGGAAAACAGTAGAAGACCACCCAAGTTCTTAGGCCCCTGCACCCATGTGGGAGACCCAGAAGAAGCTCCTGGCTCCTGGCTTCGTTGCGGCCAATTGGGAAGTGAACCAGCAGATGGAAGACCGACCGACCACTGACCCTCTCTCTCTCTCTCTCTCCTTCTCACTCTGTATAACTCTTTCAAATAAAATAAATAAATCTTTAAAAAAAGAGTGTTTAATCCAACTTTTAAATCATCATGAGATAGTATTTTAAGATAATCCTTGAATAATGGGAGAGACAGAGACAGAGAGGATTAGCCTAATGAGCCGCGGCGCCAACCATAATCATTTACTTTATATTGACATTATGCTAGGGACTTCATATATATTATTCCTTAATTGTTTCAACCAATATTCAATTATTGATTAAGGGCTCTGAGATCCATGGAGTGAACTCCTGCCAGTTAACTCAAAGGGTGAGGATAAGACTCTTTTTCTAAATAAAGTTCAGTGTTGGTTACAGTCATTTGTTTAGGTTTCTTTTATTTCCTTTTCTTTTTGTGTGGACGTCTTAGACTTTCCTGAGTGTCTTTTTGTAAAAGTGTGTTCCATGCTATCTATGACAATAACAACATGTGCAGTAGAATGGAACAAGTCTATTTGTGATACTGGTGCAGCCCAGTTTGGGGAAAGAAGAATGGAAAAACAATGGTAAAGAGCTTGAAGCCACGCCCAGGAGCCAATGACTCTCAAGGGATATGAATGAGATGTGGAGAGACAGTGGCTGTTTGGACTGATAATCATTTCAATCATTTGAATCTGTTTCTCCATTTACAAAAGTTTACTGAACATACCCTCCCATCCTTAACAGTCAAACAGGTTGGCAGGTTTTTGTTTTGGTTTTGTCATTTCAGAAATAAAAGAGCCCAGCAAATATATTTCAGGTGTTGTGAACCAACTACTCAACTCTATCACAGCAACATGAAAAGTAGGTATAGATTTAAAGATGCCTGCAATCGGCTTTGGAGTGCCCAGATTGGATTCTTGGATCTGGTCCCAACTTCACTTTCCTTCCAGCACACACCCTGAGAGACAGCAGTGATGGCTCAAGTAATCAGGTTCCTGTCATTCATGTAGCACACCTGGATTGCGTTCTGAGTTCCTGGCTTGGTACTGGCCCAGTCCCAGCTGTTGTGGGCATGTGGGAGTGTTGTGGGCATGTGGTCTTACTCTCTGTTCATCTGTCTTCCTCTCTCTCTCTCCCTTTCTCTCTCTGTCTCTCAAATAATAAAAAAGTAAACATGGATTTTTTTAAAAAGAGAACAATGTATTTATATCTGCACCAACTTATTATTTTACATGAAATTTGGCCCCCTCCAAAGATCATACCTTTTAATCAAGGCCCACATATTTAATATCCAAAACCTTGCAGATTTTTCTGAAATTTCAAATCAATTTAATCTAGCTTTATATATTATATTCTAATGTTGCCATATATTTTCCTAACCTATATGACACATCTTTCCCTCACCCCTTATGTAATCTTTAATTCCTAAATATTTTCTACTCCACAGTGCCTAAACTATTAGGTCCCTTGTCTAATTATTATTTTCACATCTGCATTTCTAACCTCCAGAAGTAGAATAAGCTAAGCCATTTCAGCACCTGGTGTTTCTGCACCTTGCTCTTTGTTAAATTATTAGTTTATTAGTTTTCAAATTCACAGTATTCAATAGCAGGCTAATTGGTGCTATTTGACATCCATTTCATTTACATTTCCAGCTAGTTTTCTCTGGTAACTTATTCTACTTTTACTTCTAATTTTTCACGCTTTTATTTTGATGGCTCCTGTCTTAATAATAATTCCCTTTCTCAAAGCATTGGCTTGTCCTTTATAACATGAAGTAAACAGAAGTTGTCAGAAAGTAAACAAAAATTCCTGTTCCTGGCTTCACCTCTGTTTAGTTCTCAGAGAACATTCTCTGTTTATTTTTGGCAAATCTTCTCTCCTTTCCTGTAGATTTCTGTGACTTTCTGCACCTGCCCTTCTCCTGTTCCTCTACTGATCTTTTAATCCGACTTACGCATTTCCAAGAAGAAAACCCAAAGTCTTTCCAGAGGCAGCTGCTGCCTCCCCAGCTCTCTTCCTTTCAAAATCTAGAAAAGCTTTCACATGTATTATTTTCCATTTCTAAGCCCACTGAAGACTGATTGCTCCTGGTACTGCCTTCCAAATGCCACAAAACAAGCAGGTAACCTAAGGTATTAGATACTTTCATGACCTTCTGTGACCTTTCATCTGACACTGTCGAGTTCATTTCCCAATTTCAACCTTCCTTTCTTTTCTTTTGTGGGATCACCTGGTTTAGTGTCTCTTTGCTGATTTTTAGTCTTTCTGTATTAGATATTTTCACTTTGCTACTAATAAAATATCCATACTTTCCTGATATTTTAGTTACAATCATTCACACATTATCCTGTCCATTGCCACTGATATTTAATTAGTGCCTAGACTTGGCTCTCACACTTAAATGATAAAGAAGCATCTGATGAAGGGATGGATAATTAAGTAACTATAGCATTTAGTAATATATAGTTATATATAAACCCAGCTAGGATTTGATTCTCTGTATGCCCACTTTTACGTCTTAGGTTGTCCTTCAATTTACTTTTGGAAGTTTATTTACTTTTTTATTTATTTGAAAGGCAGAGAAAGAGAAGAGAGACACACATACTGCAAGACCAGTAAAGTCATGTCTAAAGCCTGGAACAGCTGGGGTGGGGCCAGGTGGAAACTGGGAGTCAGGAACTTGATGAGTCATCCACAAGGGTGACAGAAACCCAAGGACTGGAGCCATCAATGCTGCATTCCAGGGCACACATTAGGCAGGAAGCTGGAATAGAGAATGGAGCCAGGACTGGAACCCAGGACTCCAATATGGGATGCAGACATCCCAAGCAGATCAGCCTAATGCTTGCTCTGCAATTCAGGTAGATGAAAAAATATGTAAAGATTACTAATGCACACTGATTAAAGTGGAATAATTATAAAATTCTATGCAATAAAATGAAATATACTCATTTATAAAAATATCAATTAAAAACTTTTTTGCAATATTAATTAAAGACGTGAAACAAGGAAGACAGTGCCTGTGTTACAGCCATTTCAAAAAATGCATTTTCTATGTGCTTTGTCTCACATTGGAAATCAGATCCATTTATTTTTTATGCTAGTATAAGAAACATATTCTATGTAATGGCTTTTGCATTATTAAATTATTTAGTCATATAAAATTACCTGTTTTATTTCATTTTCCACATATTTGTTATTATTAAGTATGTATAATCTGATTGATCATGCACAGCCAGTTGAATATTATTACATGTAGAGTATCTTGTATGTTGGAATGAAATAGCTTACTAACTTTAAAGCAACATAAATGCAAAGCATAACCAGCAAGGTTTATTTTTTTACTTTTTTTTCATTTATAAAATATGCTGGAAAAAATCCACTAAAAATTGCTGTATTACAAAATACATATTTAATGTAATATTTAAACAGTTCAAAAAGTAACTTTAGAAATGTATTTCTATTATGAAAACTATTCTGCTTAACATATTTTCTATAATTCAGAAAACAAGAATTTAAATGATACATAATATAATACTCTGTCACCAAAATAATTACACAATTAATCATTATGACAAGACTATTTTTAAAAAATTGATAATATTAACGGAGTCTATTTTGAATATAATGCCTTAAATATAGCCATTTTTACATACACATAAAATATTCTGTTGCCACAACTCATTTTCCTGTTTTCCTTTAATAATGAAAATATGACAACATTTACTTTAGCATTTCTATACAATCTTTTAACTGAAAAGAAATGCAAGAAAAAGGCACCTTGAAGCGTGAGCTGCTTGGAAAGCTTTGGTGTAATATCAATTCCGTTCTTCAGCCAGCCAAGCTGAGGGTTGGGGATGCCTTCTGCATGACACCTGAGACTGGCGGTTACCCCGGGCTCTCTGGCCTGGCTCTCTGGATACACCCGGATGACAGGAGGAACTAAGAGAAGGGGATAAAAAGTTGGTTAGTGCTCCATATCCAGATCTTGACTTGTGAAAATGAAAAAAAACTGAAATAAGAGAAATTATATATTTTAAGCATGTTATATATTTCTACAGATATTAATTTCTACTCTACTAAGTGTACCAGTATTATTTGGAAAAAAGATTACATTAGGATTATGCAATAAAATTTATAAGACAAGCACGAGACACATTGTTTAAGAAATTAAGTCCTCAAAGAATATTAGAGACATTTCAAAAGGTCATAGAACCAATGCAGAGACTTGGGAATGGACCTCTGGCATAGAGGTTTGAGTCTGCATTGAGATGCCCACATCCCATGTCAAAGTCCCTGCTGTGAGTGACTGCTGCAAGTGAGAGGCACATTCCTGCTGATGTATAGTCTGGGGAGGCAGCAGATAATGGCTCAGGTCCTTGGGTCTCCACTCCCTTGGGAAACCTGGTTTGACATCTAGGTTCTTGGCTTTAATCTGGCCCAGCCATAGCTGTTGCAAACATTTAGGTAATCAACGTTGAAAAAGAGGAAAAACCTGTAGGAATCACACCTTCTGGTTTCAAAACTTATGATAACTTATGATAAATCCAGGGCTATCAAAAGAGTGTAACACTGACATAAAGATAAACATATGGCTTTATATAACAGTTAAGAGTAACAAAATAAATACATACATCTGTGGCCAACTGACATGACAAGAGTTATGAAAAAGAACATTTTTCAAGACTATCTAGGGAGCAGCATTGTGGCACAGCTGGTTATGCTTCTGCTTGTGCCGCCAGCATCCCAAATTAGAGCAACAGTTCAAATCCTGGCTACTCTGCTTCCCATCCAGGCCCCTGCTGCTGTCCCTGGAAAAGCAGTGGATGCTGGCCCAATGCTTGGGTCCCCACCACCTAAATGGGAGACCTGGAGGAAATTCCAGGCTCCTGGGCTCAGCCTGGACCAGACCTTGCGGATTATGGCCAATTGCAGAGTGAACCAGCATATTTAAGATTTCTATGTTTCTACCTCCCTCTTTGTTGCCCTGCTTTTCAAATAAATAAAATTTTTTGTGCCAATAATGATACACAGTTCTCTGTGTGTGTGTCTCTGTCTCTCTCTCTTTTAGATCCCATATATAAGGGAGAATATGTAGTATTTGACTTTGAGGGTCTGGCTTATTTCACTGAACATGATTGTCTTCAGTTGCAACCATTCTACTGAGTATGGTAGAATTTCATTATTTTTTTTTAATTTTTTAATTTTTATTATTTTTTGACAGGCAGAGTGGACAGTGAGAGAGAGAGAGAGAGAGAGACAGAGAGAAAAGTCTTCCTTTTTGCTGTCGGTTCACCCTCTAATGGCTGCTGCGGCCAGCACACTGCGGCCAGCGCACCGCGCTGATCTGATGGCAGGAGCCAGGTGCTTCTCCTGGTCTCCCATGGGGTGCAGGGCCCAAGCACTTGGGCCATCCTCCACTGCCTTCCCAGGCCACAGCAGAGAGCTGGACTGGAAAGGAATCACCGGGTATAGAACTGGAGCCCATATGAGATGCCAGCGCCACAGGTGGAGGATTAACCTAGTGTGCCATGGTGCTGGCCCTCCAACAGACACTTTAGAAAATGTTCAGTATCACTAGCAATCAGGGAAATGCAAATCAAAACCACAATGAGACTTTACCTCACTCTAGTTAGAATGGCCCGTGTAAAGAAATCAACAAATGACAAACGCTGGTAAGGATGTGGGGAAAAAGGTATCCTGATACACTGTTGAGTGGAATGTAAACTGGTGCTGCCACTGTGAAAAAAAAGTATGGAGATACCTCAGCAATCTGAATACAGACCTGGCATATGACCCAGCCATCCCACTCCTGGGAATTTACCTAAATCAAACAAATCAGTATGTGAAAGAATTATCTGTACCCGCATGTTTATTGCAGCACAATTCTTATTAGCCAAGGTATGGAATCGACCCAGATGTCCATCAACTGATGACTAGATACAGAAATTATTGTACATATACACTATGGGGAACTACTCATGCGTAAAAAAAAAAAAAAAAAAAAAAAAAAAAACAAAACTGAATTCCTGTCTTTTGCCCCAAGATGGTTACAACTGGATGCCATTATGCTTAGTAAAATAAGCCAGTCCCCAAAAGACAGATATCATTTTCTCTGATCAGAAATAATGAATAGAGTACCTGAAATACAATGTATTAAAGTGAAATAGACATTTTTATAATTAATGAAGTTTTATAGCCTTGTCTCTTTTGTTGAGGAAAAGTGTTTTGTTTTGCTTTGTTTTATTTTCTCTTCATACTATTGTTGAACTCTTTTACTTAGGGTAGCATTAACTATACATGCATTAGTATAATAAAAAAGACCATTGTAAAAATTAAGAGTAGGACTATGAGAGGGAGGGGTAGGAATGGTTGGAGAGTTGGGGCGGGGAGAGAAGTGCCACTATATTGCTATAACAGTATAAAGGAAATATATGAAACTTGTATACTTTAAATAAAATATATATCAAAATAAAACATTTTTATAAGTTGAACTCATAGAAGCAGATAGTAGAATGGTGTTGCCAGTGGCTGGAAGATGTTAACCAAAGAGTACAAAGTTTCAGTTAAGAGGAATTAGTCTGTAGATCTACTCTATGACACAGTAACTATAGTTAACGGCAATAGATCATACATTTGAAAACTGCGTCAAAAATGTGCATCTTAAATCCTCACCATAAAAACTACATGTGGGTGCTGGCTCTGTGGTGCAGTAGGTTAATCCTCTGCCTGCTGCACTGGCCTCCCATATGGGCACCTGTCCTAGTCCCAGATGCTCCTCTTCCAATCCAGCTCTCGGCTATGGCCTAGGAAAGCAACAGAAGATGGCCCAAGCTCTTGGGCCCCTGTACCCACGTGGAAGACCCAGAAGATGATCCTGGCTCCAGGCTTTGGATAGGCCCAGCTCTGGCCATTGCGGCCATTTGGGGAGTGAACCAGCAGAGGGAAGCCCCTTCTCTCTGCCTCTGTCTCTGTCTATAACTCTACCTCTCAAATAAATAACACCTTAAAAAAACTGCATGTGTTGAAATATTGTATTATACCTCATTAAAATATAAAAAATGTACAAGTATTACATGTTAATCAAAAAGTTTAATTTTTCTAAAAAAAAATTTAGTACCTGAGGTGGTAGATATGTTAATTTGCTTGAAGTAATCATCCCACAATGTATGTATGTATGTATGTGTGTGTGTGTATATATATATGTATACACATATATATCAAAATGCCACATTGTGCATAATACATATTATCTTGCCAATTAAAAAAACTGTCATAAATGGAAACTGTAGTATTTTCCCCAAAGAAGAAATGACACTAATCTTACATAAACTCCTCTAAAGACTACAGTAGCAGGAGGTATAATTGTTTGGTCATGTTAAAATATCCCTAAAAATTCTTTGGCACTCCTATCTTGAAAGGGTGGAGATAGTTATCCAAGCCTTCTTTGTAGGTTGGATTTAATGATTCCACGTTAAAGGACAGAATCAGGAAATGAGGCTGCAGCATATTTAATCATAGGTCATAGAGATATTTTATTATTCTCCTTGTTCTCCTGGTCTTAGAGACGTTAGCTGCCATGTTATAAAAACATTCAATTATTCTTAAGGAAATCCTCATGTGTCAAGTGACAGTGAGAAGCCTCATGTCTACAGCCAACAAGGCAGTAATGCTCCCTGCAAACAGCCCTTCAAGTGAGCCATGTTTTTTATAAAGATTTTTCTTTCTTTCTTTCTTTATTTGAGAGGTAGAGATACAGACAGTGAGAGAGAAAAAGATCTTCTGTCCACTGGTTCACTCCCCAATAGCCACAATGCCCAGAGCTGCATGGATCCAAGGCAAGAAGCCAGGAGCCTCTTCCCGTCTCCCACATGGGTGCAGGGGCCCAAGGACTTAGACCATCCTTGACTGCTTCCCCAGGCCATAGCAGAGAGCTGGATTGGAAGAGGAGCAGCCGGGACTAGAACTGGCGCCCATATGGGAGGCCGGCACCCCAGGTGGAGGATTAACATACTGCACCACAGTGTCAGTCCCTTCAAGTGAGCCATCTTAAAATTACCCACCAGTCCCAAATGAAGTCTCAGATGATCATGGTTCTGGTAAATATTTTGGTGGCAACCTCAGCAAAGACTTTGTGCCAGGATCACCTTGGCTAAGCTCTTCTCGAATAATTTAAGAACCCATTTCTCTATTTATTATCTTGTATCTCTCTTTTACTATTTTTACTTCATAAAGCAGTACTTGTCATTTTAAGTCATGAAGTTTTGAGTAATTCATTATGCATCACTGAAAATTAATAAAGATTGGGGAAGGTGGGGAAGATGGTGGCATAGCAGTGTGAGGTTCTGAGTTGTGTGGGGGGAAATGGATAATTAGTTAGCAGAGGGGATGTAAGCTGGTGGCAGAATCACGAGAAGTTCTCCCAGAGTAGCTCAGGAGTCCTCCAGAGACTGCTCAGGTCCACACCGCGGGGAGCAAAGAGGAGGGAGAGGCGGCGAATGTGTGGTAAAGGAGCAACGCAGAGATCAAGTAAGGAGACTGGTGCCGCCGCTTCCCCAGTGAACCAGGTGAGAGGTAGCCTCTGAGTTCATGGAGCTGTGAACAGTGGCAGGCGGGGAAACTAGGCGAACTGCACTGTGTTTGAAACTCCAAGCAGTAAGAAGCAGAAATTGTAGGGAACAGGCGGAGTGGTTTGGCACGCCACGGTCCTTCTGGTCTCACCCCCTTCTCCTAACTGGACCTACAGCTGGCTGGGAAAAAACAAATTGATTGTTTACATTTTAGAGTCATGTCTGCCTCCTACGCACACGTCCATCAAATGCGGAGGCTACCTCACAATACACACTACCGGAGAACAAGGATCACAACATTTCAGAGTGATTTCCTCCCCACCATGCAAGCTGCGCAATAAGGAGTAATCCTAAACAGTGAAAACCTGAGAC